TGTTCCCAGATGGCAAAATCTGAGCAGTGACATTTTTCATCCATCCATTATCTATACCATCCGACCTATGAAGGTTGTCAGGGGAGCCAGAGCCAATCCCAGCCTTCATTGGGCGAGAGGCAGGACACATCATGGACAGGTCACCAGTGTATCACAGGCCCAACATACAGAGGCAAACAACGACTCACTCTCAGACCCTTTGGCCCCAAACCCCCCGGCCAATATAATGTCCATTTAACCTTACAGTTGTTGGACTGTGGGAAAAAATGCAAACTCCACACAGAAAGGCCCCGACTCAACTGGGAATTGGAACAAAAACCTTCTTGCTGTGACAGTGCTAAATAATGAGTCGCCCTTTAAGTCGTAGAATCAAATGGAAGCACCTTTTAGTCACCTGGAACAAATCTGCTGCTACTCGCATCTTTGCATTGACTTTGTATGCGATTGTTTGCTTTGCTTCACATTTGGTCTGAACAAAACAAAACAGAACGACAAAGCCAGATAAGGACTGGAGCTCTCTCTGCCTGCCCCTTGTTTCCAGCCATAAAACATCATATACCAGTTCTCTTCCGTTGTCTCTTGTTAGAAGGATGTATTGCTGCATGATTCATTTCCTATGTCCTTTTTTCTGCCTGCGTGCATTTTGACCTTTAGCCCATTTCTGGGATTTCTCCTGTGAGTTTCTGGATTTGTTGGCCTGTTTGGAATCTTAGCCCACCTCACTATTCTGTGTAACCATAAATCACTGCACTAAATTAGCCCTGCCTTTGACGTCAGAGTTTGCGTCCTATCGCCTGTGTCACAGTGTTAGCAACAGTTGTGACAGGGTTGAGTTAATCCAGAACAGAACAGGGAAGTTGGGCTGTTTCATAATCTTTCTTTTTGATACTTTGACATCCTGTCACTATGACTTCTCAGCAGGTTGTTGTGAGGATAAACTCATACAGAGAATAGTTTAGATATTGGGAGAATGTGTTTATTGTTCTAACTTTCAGGCTTAGTTACAAAACAACAATAGGAGGTTTCTTTCGCTCCACAGTCGCCAAATTCTAATAATGTATGTTGGGTTTTGGCAAGATACAAATAAAACTGAACTGAATCACTGTATTGTTCTTATGTAGAAAAATGTATGACTGTAATGTAGTGGTTACCAAACCAAAAGCATTTGTCATTATACTCTGAGGGTATGCTCGTGGTAATATCACCATATTTAGAGTTACTTCCACAATGCTCTTTGACATTAATACAAACGCATCTTGGCACCTTTACTGTTCCTCTCAGACCAGTGTGATAGCTTTTACACTCAGATACTGTGCAATCTGAATGAATCAAACCACATTTATCTTTAGCAGTGATGATTTTTGACATGATTGTAAACCTGTGTAAAATACACAAGGCAAGCATGCCTGCTAGTAGCCTGCTGCTAAAACAAATACTGTTAAAGCTGGCCTCTTGCCTCTGAAACAGATACCGCCGGTTTCGCTGTCTGGCCTGGTGGGGGTTCATGTTTCGTAAAGTTTGGCAGCGCAGCAGCATGTGAGAAATTTACTCCGTGTTGGGAGGGCAGGAGAAAAGTGGAACAATAGGACATATGCAAATGTATTCTGATATATTAATGCCACATTTTTCTAAGAATATCAGGACTAAGAGTGGATTTCAATGTGACATTTTGACAGGATGATGTGTTAATAATATTTGTATTTTAAAAGGAGGCCTTGCTTAACACACGTCGTTCCTGTCTCATGTTTCAAAATAAGAGCCTTGTGCCTTGAAAAGGATTGTACCAGTTTACTTAATTGCTTCAGAATCTCGACACAGCCTCAAAACGTCGGTATTGAGCGTCCCATCCTTCTGGTCACGTATGATAATTGTTCTCAAAATATGATAATTTTAAGCTTCTGGCTCAATACTTCACATACATTTCCCACCTCTCAATGATGCTCCAGAGAAATACATGGTGGTGACGCAGGCGCCCGGTTCACATGAGGTGTAGGAGCTAGTTTGTCATTCACCGTCCCCCACAGACCAGTGCTAATCCTGCTGGTGTTTTTATCATCTACTAAGTGCGTCAGACTGTTTTCCATTCCAAACAAATTCTCCACCTTGCTTCTGCAACCGTACCCCACACATCCAGAGTTCACTGGGCCCAAGACAGGTAGTCAAGGCCTCTTTCCAGGGCCGAGTGGCACCTGTCAGCATTTCTATGTGCCAACAGAACACAGGCAGCTGGATGTGAGCTTGTGTACGTCTATGTGTTGTGAAGTAGCAGTATAGGGTTTGAATAAACACATAAAGTAAAGGTGATGCTTACTCATTTGCCAACCATGTCTCATATACAAGTATGATACACAAAAGGCACAAAGGGTTTCTTACAAACGCTATCATTTGTCATCCATATGTTTTGAATGCCTGTAAGATTGCAAATGAAGGAAAACCTTTGAACATATTTTATATCTTTGTATATAGTATTGTACTTTTTGTAGAATAACAATCTATATATATACATATATATACAAATATATACACATATATGTATACACAATGCTCAATAGTAAATTGCTCAATAGTAAATTGCAGATTTCACAATCATGACAAACCCAAATATTAAAAAAGAAACCTTGCACACTTGTGACCTCTAGTGGTTTGGTAGTTTACTTTGGAAGATGCTTATCCTGTTTTTTTAATTTACAAAGTATCAGTTGATGAATTCAGTCAGATTTGACAAATTTGTCAAACAATAATCATATTATATAGATGAAAGCAAATTCATAAAAGAATAGAAACACGTTCCCCCCCAATTAATTAGGATTTGTTTGGTAGTTTTTCCTCACTCTTGTCGAGGGTTAAGGTCAGAGGATGTTGCACCTTGTTAAGCCCTATGAGACAAATTGTTATCTGTGAAAATGGGCTATACAAATTAAATTTGATCTGATTAAATAAAGATCAGTCAGAAATTTAAGCATGACCAGCTACTACAATAATAAAAACCAGAATAGGGTAAATCAGGGGAAACTGTTTGATTTTAGTATGTTCTGAACTTTTGAGCTGAGTTATAACGACTCAAAAAATATACATGGAACAGATTATGAAAATATGCAATTCAATATTTTACTCGGAAAAAAATGGTGTTGTGTAGCATTTAATACATGAACAAAAAAACACATGTTCAGTTCTTCCTAGAACCAATGTTTTTGAGTTGTGGATAGGTTAATTAAAAGACTGCAGGATTTTTGACCTCTGCCAATAACTCAATGAGGTCATCAACAGTCTTCTCTGGCAGAGAGGTATGCTTCAGATTTTGATATCGTCTCTCAGTGTGATGATATGTCTGGCACGAACATGCTGCAGAATGAAGGAGGGATCTGTCTGCATTTGATGACTTCTACTTTGTGCTGCGTGATCATTTTCAAAGCAGGGCCATGGAAAAGACAGCAGGGTTTTTAAATGTGTGTATGAAATTTGCCTCATTTGCCTTTTTGCTGCTGTCGGGCAAGTTCTTGACACCATTTTTCAACTGACATTTCAACATGCTGTTTGAAGATTTGCCTGTTATTAGAAAATTAACCAAACACACATCTGTCAATGTGCATCAAAATGATGGTGTCTCCTCTAATGTACCTGAGGAAAAAGAACTGATAAATATCTGACAGATCACCAGTAAGAGGAGGCACAACCCTACCTGCACATTGTTGATGCTTTCACAGACATTCTTGATGTTTTCTGCTGAACAAGAAAATAAACTTTTACAAATCTTTTACAATTTAAACTTTTGGAACAAACACAGCTATTAAAGTAAAGTATTTTACAATTTATTTATTCCACAGGAAATAGATTCTTACCAGACAGACTAATTCCTGGACCACTCACTGTTTCTATATTCAATATATATAGCTTGTGTGGCGCTGTCTTTCAAAATACCTTACAGTAAAGTGTTGAATGCATCTAACTGATCTTTACCTTGAGTTTCTGTGGCAGTTGCTGGTAATGTGCTTGATTCTGCCTCAGAATCTCAATGAACCTCTGACAGGAGTCTTTTCTTGAATGCACTGCTCTCTTTTTGTACCTCTAGGAATTCATTCACAGTTAGAATATTCCCACACTCTTGAAGGATGCTATCAGGGTCGCCTGAAAGTCTGTCCTGCTCTGCTCAGCTTGTCTGTGTTATGAGACAAGACATAACTTACTGTACATGAAAGTCTGCTAAGTGAGGATGTGATGGTTCTCTTGTGTAATATTATTAACTACATATCATTCACTCAGTGTTTTATATACTTTTAAAAAGTAACGTAAAAAGTCAGTGGAAGAGGATTTGAATGGAAGGGATAGTATTGTTTATGTGTGTTTGTGTGTTGTGGGGATCTAAATCTGTTTACACACCTACTGTATGTATTATCAGGGACCTGTCTTCCTTATTGAAAAAAAGCATGTCCCCGGTGTATATTGAATTACATTACATTTTGCAGTGGAGACACATTTTAAGTTTAGGATAAGGTTAGATTCATATTCATTTTAAGGTGAGGTTAAAAGGAGGTGTTTGTGATGGTTAAGATCTAGTTGAGAAGCTGGATGGATGCATCATTGTCCTCACTTTGAAATTACAAGTACAAACATGTACGTATGCATTTTCTCCACATGATGAACCAAGTATAAGATAATCCTCACCTCTGAATCATAAGCTCCTGCTTTTATAAAGAAGAATATATAAATAATATTTCTCTAAAATATCACAAGCAAGAGTAAATACATTCTGCACATTCTCCGAGGGTAAAATGTCTTAGTGGCTGCAGGATCAAATCAATCTTAATAAATAATTATAAATAATGTATATATGTTTATGTTACTGCTTCTAGATAGAAGTTCACAATTGTTGGTTTAAAACAGGAACAGACTCTCATATATCTGTGTGATTAGTATGAAGAGTTCATGCATTGTACAGAGAAAGCAAAGAATGTTCAGATTCAGTTGATTTATTCACTGATTTATTTATATTAAAATATAATTAAATGATTCACTTCATGGAAAAATACATCAAACCATGCAAGATTCTCCTATAGGAACACATGTTTGAATTAAATGACATTGTTAAACTGACAAAAGCATTTTAAGTTTATGATTGTTGCAGCGTTTCACCTCAGGTCATCAGTCCCAGGTTCGTTGGGGGTGGACAGATACGTCAGCAACGTTGGCTGGGAAAACTTATCACTGTGTTATATTATAATCTGACACTTGTAAACTATTTGGATGAGTTTAGTTCAAACTAGAGCATTGAAACAGGAGAGAAGAGGTGAGACAGGTTGTTCACAGCTGCTGCTCTTCTAAGAACATTACAAATGTTAATATGTTAATATTAAACCAATAAGGTCAATAAGGGATTTGTCATAGACAGAGGTGATTCTGCTGAATCTTACAGTTCTGTATTGAAGGGTTTTTACTGCGGAGCTGTGTGTTTACTGCCAGATGTGCTTTTGACAAAAGTAGCGTTGCGCTCCAGTGTCACAGTCCTCCTCCCAGACGACTGGTTCAGTTCGCTCATGTCCACCCCCGAGTCTAAACTGGTGTCCCGACTCTCCACCGGCCTTTGTCTCCTCTGCTGCTCCGACACAGCGTAACGGATCTCAGCTGCAGGTTTGCCCTCCAGTGACACAAACCAGGCCCGGGGATGCTGAGGTTGAGGGATTCTAGAAAACTCTCCGAAGGCATGTAGCGAGTGTCTGTTGTCCCTGATTTTATTTAATGTTCCAGGGACAGACGCTGACTCTGGGAGGCTGAAGTGACCCCTGGTTGTGTTGGCGGGGGGGTCCTCTAGAACTCCCAGCTGGTCCTCTGTCTCTCCCTCCTGGTTCTGGGTCACAGTCTGACCTTTTGTCTGTGTCTGGGTGAAGCTGTCTTTACTCAGAGGCTCAGCGGCAGCTCCGTTTGAAGCCCCTGCACGGGGCAGAGTAGCCGACCTGCCCCGCTGGTTGAGTTCCTCCTGCTCCTCCACATGGAAGAATGCTGGGGCGTGAAGGATAGCAACAGGCTGGTTGTAGAAAAACAAATTCTCAGCCAGAGATACTGGAAGTCTCATCTGCTCTGTAGTTTTGAATAAACAATCATTTGGTTCAGTGTTGAGGTCCATGGCCACAGCGTTGGGATTGGCTATTACACTGTGATTGTGGATTGAGTTGACAGAGGTGTCGTGTGGATTTTCTGTGAGAGGCTGGTTAAGCACATCGTGTAACTCAAAGACGTCATCATCACAGGTGGAGGTGGTTTGGTCTTTTCTCGTCACTGGCAGGATCATCTTTATCTCAGATCCACTGAGGGAACTTCTGCTGTCAAAACAAAACATTTGCTTTTTGCAGAGTCAGGACAATGAAATGAAATATGACATTATATCTTAATATTTTGTCCAAAAGCTCATCCTGCAAACACTGACTATACAGTACAGTGCAATACTCACACACACGCACGCACGCACGCACACACACACACACACACACACACATCAGTTATTTGTGCAACATAATATCTGTTTTGCTTTTGTATTCCCAATTCTTCTTGGATTGATGTACATTGTATTTGTTTAAGATAAGATAAGCTTTATTTGTCACGCACACAATTATATCCTTAATGTTTAGGAAGGAGCCATGAAATAAAATGAATAATAAAAATAATAAAACAGTGCAAGAACCAACACATTATTCCTAAAAAGCCAGAAAAAGTCAACGATACGAGTGGCTTTTTTGTTGCTCTGACACTTTGCTGCATGTCCTAGTGTCGGAATCCTTTCATGTGAAACAAGACCTCACTTTCAACCAATATTGTGTCAACTCTTTAGAGTTTAGGGTAGCAAGATTTATTAGCTAATGCAAGGCTAACAGTACGCGCTGCCAGGGACATGTAGAAAGTGTGTTGCCACCAGAGTTAAGTGTAACGTTAACTAGACTCATGTGGTGAAGTTTATGTTGCCTGTAGCAATGTGACTGTGTCAGTGCAGAGCTCAGGCTCTGCAATCTGTGTCGTGGTCCGGGTACCGGCCTCGCAGGAACCTAATTGTATAACTGCATGGGTGTTTTTAAAGGAATACTTAAATGAAAAGGATTAAATAATCATGTCCTGGAGGCTTTTTAAAAGTGGCTTTGTAAAGTTTGCAGTTCGCTCAGAGGGTAGATTGGTTCCGCTTAGATTTACCAAAGTTTGAGAGTATTTCAGTGAAGTGTCACAACAAATTTCTCAAATCACTCCTGCAGGACTTTTCTCAGCAAATCCCTAAACACATCACTTCTGGTAAGACTTTGGTGCTATGAGGACGTGATACTGTCACACAGACGCAGTTTAATTAGCTGTGATGTGGGTAAGTGTGGAACACACTGAATATATTATGTGTCCACTGCAGAGAGGAATTTACTCACAAACACCACCAGAATCATTTGGTGTGTGACAAAACCAGCAAGTATCTTTAAATGTTATTCAAATGCTATAATTTTAATAATGTGACCACATACAGGATATACTGTGTAGACTAGTTTGATATAAAAGCCTTTGTACCTGCGATGGCACAACAATCCAACCAGAAGACTGATGACGATAACTAGCACTCCTCCGAGGACGACCATCAGGACGGATGAATGCTGTAAGATGAAGTCAATGGGAAGAGCAAGGCCAAAAAAATCTGCAGCAGAAGCGACATGATCAGAAAAAATGACTCATAAAAACATGGGTGCCGATAAAATATTTCCCAGGCCAGTTTCTATAAACTTAGAAAATGTATTTAAGATTATTCCTTTTTTTTTCAATTCCTATTGGTTTTTAAAACTGGAACAATCCAGTTGCAATTGTCAAAATATTTATACAGTTAATTGCTTAATTCTTTCCATTCTTACATTTTCATTTTATACATATTGATTGTTTGATATTTCATACACATACATGTCAACTGATAACCAGAGCGTTATCATGTTACTGCTGTATATGCCATCGATGGTAGTCTCAGAAATAAATAGAGAAAACAATGTTTAGTATTTAAATAGCATTATGGTGAACACTTGCCTCTGTTAGAAGACAAAGGTGCTGCGATCCAGTAGCCGAGGTGAGGAGCTGTGAATGTCCACAAAAGTTTTCCATTGACTGACACCACCTTCCCGAGTCCTTTTCTCATCCACCCTCCTGACAGAAAATATCAAACCATCACTTCAACAATGTTTTTACAAAATCCTCTCTTAAATTCACAGCTTCTCATTAATCCTACAATAAATTTACGCAGTTTTTCTTGAAATCATTATTAAAACATAGTATGAACAAAAAAAAAGATTTAACGTAATCTATCTCTCTCTATATGCATCTTTTTACTGCTTTTTGGACTCTCGATGACCCTAAATGTGGTTTACGAAATCAGAATTGTTCTACTTTTACTGCACAACACATTTGAATAAATATGTACCAATTTCCAAATCTTGATGCCCGGTCTGTATAATCTGTATAAAATGGTGGCATTTTAGTGTAAATGGTTTTTAACTCGAGCACTTTTCAAGTCTTGATGACCAGTCAAAGCGACTTACAGTACAGTTGTTGTCATTCATACATAAAGTGCATTTATGTGAAGTACTTTCTCTATCATACTTCACTCATAAACTGTTGGCACAGCCGTCAGGGGAAAATCAGGGCTCAGTGCCTTGCCCAAGGATACTTCAGCACACACAGTGGATGAGACTGGGATCGTGCTGTTTTTTTAAATTAATGAATTAACAACACATTGTTTATTCTATGTAGACCTTCAGCCGCCACATGATGAAATGAGCACAGGTTCATTCATCCTCTTATCTAGGGTTATATTCACACCACTACAAATCACTGCTGGTGCATTTCACGCCTGCCGTCTCACTACTCTGTTTTTGAGACCTGTTTTAGGTTGAAAACTCCAGGGCTGTATTGTTGTCCAGATGGGGAATAAATGCAGATGTTTGGACATAATGACAGATTTTGCTTTTTTTACATTTGCTTCCTGATTGGTTCTTATCAGTAATTACTCGGTGAACATTTACCACAATTACTTTCACTAACAGTTCCCCCTCGTCATCTGTCCAAGAAAATTAATCCCTGCTATTGCTTTTTCCTGGATATATATATATATATATATATATATATATATATATATTATTAGTATTATAGTTGTAGTATTTTCAGGTAGACAATCTGCTTCCTGTTTACACCAGCTCCCACATGACCAGTGTTGACCATACGTTTTCAGATGTGTTAGCATGGACAAGGATTATGACTGGTTTGCAGTTAAAATGAATGTGTGGACGGAGATAGTTTTTCAATGCGGTTTAAAACTGAAATGTATTAGTATATATGTAGTTTAGAACAGACAGACTTACAAGAGAAATGTCTCTTACTGGCATTAAGCTGTTATGTTAATGATGGAATTTTTCCAATATATGTTTTCTTGCAACTTAAATAATTACATTTTCTTCATCAATCTGTAAGCAGAAGACATTACTCTGTCCTATAAACATTCTAAGACTTGTGGAGACATGATGATGGTTTCCACTCACCAGTGGTCCGGTTAAAGAACCACGCTGGGACGACGCTGGACATCTGAAGTCCACAGCTGTCAGGAACGCTGAGGCTGAGCTGTATGGGCCCGCTCACATGTAGCTCCATGTCTCCCGAGAAAAGCTGCACACTTACAGCCGCCATCGGGCTCAGCTCCACACTGACGAACCCTTGAAACGACATGAGACGCTGCTTAAAAGGAGCTAAATACTACATGCTCTGTGTAAATGTTCAATTTGCTAACTTTGATATTTTCTTGAAAGAATATTTCATGTCAAATCCCTCTGGCTAAGCGTTACCAGGGCAACAGAAACAGTAGTTTGATTGACAGTATTGGCTGCTGATTGGATAGAGTGGTGTTATGTGGAAAATAATGAAAAGGTGACTGCACTCCTGCTCAAGCTGCGACACTAATTTCATTTGTCTTCAGCTTGTTACAGACAGAAAGTATTGTGCACAATGTAGAAGTAATACGTGCATCTTGAAAATTTTACTAATTAGATTGACTAAGTTTTTCCTTTTTTTAAAATAAACTTTGACTGTTAGAATTGGTTCAGCTCACAGTGTGTGTGAAATTTTGATCACAACATAAATTGCGAGGGTATTTCTACATGAGCTGATAGGTCATAGGTCAAGCTCAACAAAAGCATGTCTTGCAACACTTTCCAAGATACCTATGCAAATAATACTGAGACAATCTACAGCAGGGGTCACCAACCTTTTTGAAACTGAGAGCTACTTCATGGGCACTGAGTCATAAGAAGGGCTACCAGTTTGATGCACTCTTCTGAAATAACACATTTGCTCAGTTTGCCTTTAGTTATATATTATTATTAATGATAAATGTTTAAATTTTCAGATGATCACTTCAACATTTCATAAGAAAAATGTTCCATTTTCACGAGCCACTGACCAACCCTTTTAACAAATCATAGTCAATAGTCAACTTCAATATGAGAATACAAATTTGACGGTATAAAAAAGAAATAATTAAATTGAATTAGAAACGNCAATATTCAACACTTTATTTCTATTAATCTCAGCAATTGTTTAAATTTTCAGATGATCACTTCTACAACATTTCATAAGAAAAATGTTCCATTTTCACTAACCACTGACAAACCCTTTTAACAAATCATAGTCAATAGTCAACTTGATTATGAGAATACAAATTTGACGGTATAAAAAAGAAATAATTAAATTGAATTAGAAACGCATATCAAATTTTAGACGCAGCTCACTGGTGAGTTGTGTTATTTTTAGAACAGGCCTGCCATCACTCATGTGGTCCTTAGGGGCTACCTGGTGCCCGCGGGCACTGTGTTGGTGACCCCATGATCTACAGCTTATGCTGATCAAATGTTATTCCACATCATGTGATGTCATATGAGAAATAATAACATGATGAACTGAAGGTAGGCATTGTTCTAGGTTATCTCAGTAGGACTATAGAGTCATATAGATATGACTTAATCCTACATATGTGAGGAAGCTGCACTCACTCCCTCACCAGTCAGGTCAGCTCTTTGTTTATTCATTCTAAATATTTGGTTTCTGTTCAGAATATTTGTTTGTCAGCTTAATTAGGATCCACTTTAGTTGATAAATGCATTTGTTTAAATTCATATTTTTTCATTCAAATATTTGTTTCATTGTTGCTTGTTTGCCTTGATTTCTAATCCCTGTTTGTTTTAGGTTCACTTCCTGGTTGAGGCTGGTGCTCGTAACGAGCGCACATGAATGCCACATCCCCACCAGGTGGTTTCAATGTGGACTCAACCATGTAGGCATGAGGGATGGGGGGAGGGAGCAACTGGTTTTCTTTTGTAGTTTTCTTTTTCTCCTAGCCTTAAGTAATATTCACACTAGCCTTAATTATTAGTTGTAGAGTCATTGCACTCTTTAATGTATTAATTTAAAGACACTTTATTATTATTCTTGTTTGCTTTAGCTGTTTTCATTTTACCTTTTCTATTTAAGGGATAGTTTTACCCAAACATATTTAAACCGAGGGTTTGAGCCAGTAGGCATTTTGTCTGTGGGTTGGGGACCTGTCTATCTGTCTGTGTGTTTTTGTGTATTGATGCCATGTGTCTTTATCTTGTAAGAAACTAAAATCAGAGCTCTGAACCATGTTCCTGGATTTCTGGTCTGATTGTTGCACTTCTATTGTCAATGTCCAATTTATTTATATAGCACATTTAAAACAACTTGGTTGACCAAAGTGCTTCACAGTAAAAGGGGATAGTAACACGCAATACATCAGAATATAAATAGAATGAGCCGGGATAAAAATGTACTCAGCTCGAGGTGAAGGCCACTGAGAACAGATATGTTTTTAGTAGTGATTCAAAGTGTGGAGGAGAGGGGGCAGATCTAATGTGGTGTGGTAAGTTGTTCCAAAAGTTTGGGGCAGCTACTGCGAAGGTGTGATCACCATTGGGTATGAGTTTTGCTTCAGGTAGGTCCAGGAGTAGTTGAGTGGCTGATCTCAGCTCCCTAACTGGAGTGTGTGTATGTTGAAGTTCGGCTAAGTAAGGCGGTGCCAGTCCATTAAGAGATTTAAAATTTAACAGTAAAATTTTAAATCGATCCTGTGACGAACAGGAAGCCAGTGGAGAGAGTGCAACACAGGTGTGATATGGTCTCCCCTTTTTGTTTTTGGTCAGGAGGCGAGCAGCAGCATTTTGTACGAGCTGTAAATGTGACAACAGGATTGCGTGGTTGATGGTATCAGATATAGGAGCACTAGGACAGCAGAGGTTCCTGAATCAATCGTTAAAATCAAATTGTTAAATACTCTTAAAAGGGCTGTTTCAGTGCTATGACAGGGTTTAAACCCAGACTGGAACTTTTCATACACATTATTGTTAATTACAAATGTTTGTAACTGGGTGAGAACTACCTTCTGTGGGACTTTGGACAAGACGGGCAGTTTAGAAATGGGCCTAAAATTCGAGAGAACAAAGGGATCAAGATTTTCTTTCTTTAGCAAGGGCTGCACAACTAACAGCATGTTAAAAAAGCAGCTGGAACACAACCAGAGAGAAGGCAGGTGTTTATCAGTGACAGAATGGATGGGCCAACAGTGTCAAAGACTTCCTTCAGAAAACGAGCTGGGATGCTGTCAGAGGGGCAGTTTGTGGGTCGCAGATGGTGGACCACCTTGGATAGGGAGGAGATTGATATGGGCTCAAACTGACCCAAGACAGCTGAGCGCATGTGAGGGATGGGGGAGGTCATGGTCAGTTGGCATAGTTAACGATGATCTAAGAGGGGAAGTTTTTTAGAATTTAGAATTTAAGAAAGGAATCACAGAGGTCAGGTGTGGGTCGAATAGGAGTGGGATTACAGGGGTTTGTGAGAGTATTAAAAAGAACCTGAGGCCTGTGACAGTTAATGGAGATCAAGTTGGATATAAACTCTGTTTTTGCAGATTTTAAAGCTTTCTGATAATCAGACAGTCCTATAATATTTCATATGATACTCTGAGTTTGTCCTTTTTCCACTTTCCCTCTGCTTGCTGACATGCACGTCTGAGGGTGCGGGTATAATCATTTAACCATGGCTCTGAAAGTGCTTTAGTGCATTACAACCTCAAAGGAGCAACATAGTCCATAGTGCTCGTGCAGGTTGAGTTAAAGAGAGATATACGCGCATCAGCACTGAGAACATCACTACCTTCCAAGTTCTATTCTCCCAGACTGACTGCTCACATCCTGAGTTTAAAGAGTTGAAACATTTATCCCTAACAACATACATTAAAACTAAATTTAAAACCTCATGGTAGACCTTTGTCATCATGACATCATGTTCTGGGTAGACAGGCCCGAGCACACACCGTACCAGAGGAGGTTTAATTTGTTGTCTTTATAAAATACTATTATTACATTCTAAAAAAGTTGTCTGGGTTTGTGCAGCACATGGAGGGTTTCCCACTCATGCTTTACATTTGTTTCTCTGTGAATTCATCTGCCTCAGTGTATTTTTATATTGTTGCACCCACCACATAGACCCAAAGACAAACTATTCAAATTCAGACATGGGTTAGAGTACCTACAAAAAGACTTATTTTGACAGTACACACACACACACACACACACACACACACACACACATATATTTACCTGACTTACTGCTCACAATGCCCACAGTGTTGAGAAAGCCATCGCCCTCTGACGACAGCTTGGGAATGGTCAGGTAGGCTCTGACCGAGGTGACATTAATGTCATCCGTTAGATTCAGGAGGCTCTGTGGAAACTGGACTACGGGCTGCGACAAAGCATCTATAAATAAAAAGATGGCATGAAAGATAATAGCAGTAAATATTGAATGTGTTTGTTTGTAAGACAAATGTATCTTTGGCTGATATACTGTGAAATGAATGAGACAGTGTGAACAATAAGGAAAAAGAAGTGTGACTGAATGAATGCAGTACCAGATGTTTTTCCAGTGATCAGGACAGAATCCTCAAAGAGCCAGATGTTCCCTTGATTGAGACCAAGTAGTGACATGGTCACTGATGAAAATACTGCAACAATAGAAGATACACAATGAATGCTCAGTATTTTATTTAAGAATTTGATGTCTATCCACTAGATGGCAGCGGAACATCGCGTTTTATCAAGTGGCCAATTAAACCTCACAGAGGAAAGAAATGGGGGAAGCTTTCACAACAGTAGCTGTGGCTTAAGATGTAAGATTTAGTTCTATGCGCCACAGCACTGCAGAGTGCAAAAGAGCATCAGTGACAAAAGAACACACATACACACACAAAGCTGTAGCACAGTCCTTTTGTGGGTGTTGGGTGCTTTATTTAAAGTGCAGTAATGCGGAACACAAATTGGTCTTGCGATGACAAACATAAAGTTAAGAAATTCAGTATATCCATCTCTGTGACACATTTTTCAAAGAACTACAAACACACATACAACTACACAGTGTGCAGCTGATAGAAACTGTAGTTACACACTGATTTGAAATAGTGACTGAGCTAAGCCTCGACTGGCTCGTGGATCAAAAGATTTTCCCGGACTGATAAAAAGGTCAAGGAGCTGTCATAGTGAAGTCTCAGTCACACTCAGCATACAAGACTAAATGTACCCACTGATCTCTCCAATAAATATAACACTGCCCTTCTCATATTTACACATTTGTTTGAGCTTAACTTACTCTGATCCTTCCAGCCATTATCTATACAGTTCATACTCTGAGGGATCACTGGGGGAGATGGAGCCAACCTCAGCTGACATTGGGCAGGTGGCTTGGTAAACTCTGGACAGGTCGTTGGCCTATCATGGGGCCAACAGAAGCTGGTTTCAGACATGCACTGAACTCCCAAAAATCTCCAGCCATTCTCCAGAGGGGCTGTATGTGAGAATGCAAAGGTCTGAGTTGGAGGCTCCTTTATGTCTGACGATGGAGCTTTAGAGACAAACAACCATTCACTCTCACATTCACACATCTCCAACTAACCTAACCATCATCTGCATGTCTTTGCACTAAGGAAGCCACAGTACCCGGAGTAAAACCTGGCAGACATGGGGAGAACTTGCAAACTCCACACACGCAGACCCCGGACATTAAATATCTTACTTGGCATCCTGCTGGTTTTACAAGGCAGCAGTGTGCAAATGTAGCCATCCTTGCTGGCCACAACTGTGACAGGCACACCAGTGTGGTAAGGAACGTGAAGCAAAGCGCTGCCATCCTCCCCGGTGAGTGCAGTGCTGGCAATGGTGTAGTTGACGTAAACCTCCACCACTGCCTGGCTTAGCGACTGACGACTCAGCACATCACTGACCTGGACTCTCAGGTTAAATGCAGAACCTTGGGGGAAGAAAGGGATTTAGTTAAAGTCAAGGATGCTGCTTTGGAGAAACATAACGGGTTGGGTGTGAAGGTTGATAAAAGTCCAAACATGGTCCAAACTTTTACTATGATGAAGTTGTGTTTACTCCTTTTATGCAGTACAAGCTTTACTGCTATAAAACCATGGAGTTGGCTGCGTTTGCAAATAACCCAGCAGGCTAGGACTCCTCACTGACAACACAACAGGAAAACTAATTTGCAGAGTCCCTGGAGGATATGAATCAATTAATCCCAGGAGATTCCGAAGAGGTGGACACAAATACAAATGGTAAAATTAGGCAATTAGAACAACAAAGTAAGCACTCGATACAGCGTTATACTACATCAGCATGAAGACAGCAGAGACACTACATATTTCCAATTAAGTGACTCTCGCAAGGGGAGCCCCGAACACTGCATTTCCTCCAGGTAGCTCCAAGAGAATCCCATTCAGGGCCTGCTGACAATGTGACATCTAATCCACACTAATTAGCCACTTTTACACTGTGCACCAGCGTCCAACAGCAAGTTCAGGACAAGACTCTAATTCCGAGAGGTACAGTGTGGCATCACAATAAAGGAATGCTCAGTAACACACCACACTGATCAAACGACTTTATAAATCATACACTGTTTACAAAGATGGGCGACATGACAGCTCGATCGCCTCCTGGTGGTCGCTGCAGTATAGGTCATACATCCTGCCTCCTCCATATTAATGGGAGATGGAACAAACTAAAAAGTCAAAGTACACGTTTTTTACTCAAAGATGTTTTCTGTCAATTCAGGACGTTCTTATCACACTGATGTATGTTCAGGGGAAATGTGAAATGACTGACAGCTGAGAATTGGTTAAGCATGTGTATCGGTCTATGGTGTAAAACCAGAAACTCACAGAAAATGATCACCAACTCCAGCAATTTATACCATGAACATTCAAGACTAAGTTGATACCTGGTACTAACATCTGTCCTGAGCGATTAGAGTGGTCAGTACAGGCAATCACTCAGACCAAACTTGCAGTGTGAATATAAATGCATCATGGGCTACATATGAAGGACCGCCTACTCAGCTGAGATCCTCACCCACTACAGTTTCACTACAGGACAAAAGTATGTTTACACTTCCCTCTACCCATATATTGATTTGATTGCAGACAGCGCCACAATAACATCATCACATAATGAATGATACTTTTTTCAAATGGGTAAATCTTATCCATGGCATAGCTGTTTATTATTTATTTATTTATTCCCCTCTCTTTCACGTTATTAACACACACACACACACACACACATTGTCATTGCACACATCCGTATACTTAGAAAACACAATTTGGTTTTCAAGGTTTAGAGCTGGGAAGTGAAATCCAATGTCATTTGGTAGAAGGAGACCGGATGCTTTTTAATGTGATCTAATCTCCCAGGATGAATTTTAATACTAGGACTGAACAGGGCCTTAAACTCTTTTAGATAATTATTTTGGTCTTGATCGTTTAGGCCACTGTCTGTTAACATATTCGCTGTAACAACTTTACAAAGTGATATATCAGTGTTATCTCCAGGAGTTGTACAAAGGGAAATGGACTTGCTTGTGTACCTTGAATTCCTGAAGACACAATGACCCAGAGGACTGAGAATCTTAAAAATATGTCAGTGTTATGTTGACAGCTTAATTCTGCTGTCCTCTTATTGTCAAAAAATATCAACATAAATGAAGCATTGCATTAGTTCATGCAGAACACAGAGTCATAGGCTCAGCTGATTAATGCTACAGGTTAATGGCTGCTCGTCAGTCACCGACCACCAATCTTTTTAATAGGACCTCCTCCTCACTGATTCCTGCTCAGCTGCACTGCCACTCACGCCCTGCTGCCGGCAACTTGCCTCCACCACCCCAGCCTCAACCTTTTAGCACTGGCTAATCCAGAGAACATCCAAAGAATGGACCCATCCACTCCAAGTTTAACTTTATTCCCATTTGTGCAATAAATGGGTAAATCATGACAAGGTGTTCCTGACTGAACTGATAATAAAGAATATTGGAATTCAAGTATTAGTCAGTGAGGTAAAAATATATGAATGTCTTGTAAAGTAGCAGAACATTAAATCAAAGCAAAAAACCTGGGATTGGACAGACCACCTGGAAAAATGTGAACACAAGATCCCCACAACAAATAATGATGGTGCTGCAAAGAATGTGCTCAGCATCAAGAGTTCTGTGTAAAGCTGCAAACCTCTGCCTACACCGGCACCTCCTGCCCTGCTATAAATACTCTCTACTTTACTCTACTGTTCCTGTGGAGTTTGGGCCAGAGAGTGGGTTTTGGGATACACATAAATCTCAGCAGCCAGCTCATCATCTGCCCTCCACAGTTACAGTGCACTGCATCATGTTTATTTTGTGCTACAAGGCCATAAAAACGTCCTCCCTACACTTTTTATAATGAATCAGCACTACTATAGCAACAGTCTCTGTATGTCACCAGCATCTTTTTCTAATGTTGACAATTCAGCACTGACGGTGGCACCGGTTGAATTTGCTGCCGGTCCGATCGCTCATAATCCTGCCGCTAAATGATCTGCCAAAGCTCTGCTGAGAACTCATGAAGCCGCGCCTTATGCCACCAGCTTTCACACCATGTCAGCGAGTGCCGGAGCCAGATAACCAGATCAGTCCACATCCACAGCCCCGAACAATTCCCTTTGATCAGGAGCGCACAGAGTGCGAGGAGATGCCAGAGGCTTCTGCATTTTCACAAATAACTACATTTGGCTGCGTTAGCGTCAGCCTCCTGAAATAAAAACCTGTGTGCTGCCAGTGCATATGGACAAGAGGACATGTGTTTTTGGTCAGAGGCCGCCCTCTCTCTCCATGGGTTCAGCTTTGATGGCCAAACAGAACAGAAGGGGGGGTCACTGAATCTGGGGTGGAGGTGTACGTGCCAGATTACTATAATCTCCTCATTTGGCTGAACTGAACCAAGCCACAAAGAGGGTTATGAAGTATATTGGACTGGGCTGCGTGAGGCCACAGACACAGATGAGGTATATAACACTCTATAACTCAAATACTGTCTTATGTAACAGTGCTGGTGTCCAGTAAGATATTTAAGAAAATAATTGTTGTATGCAGTGAGTTTTTAGGAAGAATATTACAAGTTTTAATATCATGCTTTGATTTTCTGCAATGTATAAGCCTCAACATTTAACCCATTGAACTTGTGTAATAAACACAAAAGGACATTTGAGTACTTGTACAAATATGATTGTTGCATTGCAGAAACTATATTACAATGTATATATATTAAATATATCTCAAATAAAAATTGTATGTATTTCATCATATATTAATATTATACATACTATTATATTAATTATATTACATCATAGTGTATTTACAGCCATATACTCTATTTGTGGTCCATATAGTCTAACAATAATTTTCAAAGTTTTTGAACAAACAGTTATTCTATTGAATTTTGAGGGTACATATCAGACATCCTAGCTGGATTTCTTTACAGTGTACGTTTCCACCTTGACAGTGTGTTTTCAAATGTCTTCTTTGTCAGTGTGTGCATGTTTGACTTCACCAAATGAGCAGAACATGAACGAATCAAACATTAAATTACAACACAGACATCAACACAGTAAATGTTAGAAATATATAAATGATTAAAAACTGTTTCTCTGGCTAAAAGGGCTCTCATCATTCCACAGAGGATCAAAATCACGAGGAAAAAACAAAAACATGTTGACTGGTCATTTCCGTGAGACCACCGTGCAGAACAAACAGATGGTCCAACAGGGACTTATCTCTGGTGACCCCCCTCTTTCCCACCCCCTACCCTCTCCACATGCTTGTGTGTATGTGTGTTGGAATTAGGCCATATACTCCACTGATGGAGAGAGGTGGGGGAGAGTGTGCCAATCTAATACGTGACGTCTGAGGACAAAGGATGCTCAGGGTGGAGTTGATGAAAAGCCGATGCCCTTAACACCCACTGGTCTTGTCAAATAATTAAAATGCTCCCTAGGGGAAGAGAGACAAAATTATCCTGCCCTTTAAGAAGCGTACAGCAGTGAAGATGTTCATCTCAGCGTGGGACAGTCGACCATCTGGCTCAGGAAAGAAGGCACTGTTTGTACTTTTGTTTTTTTGTATATGTCTTTTTTTAAATTGTTAAGTAGAAAGTGGGCAGTCATTCATTCCCCTGAGGGGTTACTGTGTAGTGCAGGGACAGGAAGAGAGGAGGAGGAGGAGGTCTGGCAGGAGGCTGAGTGAGGATGGCACAAGACACAACAGAATGCTTGGGGACATTTCCAAGTGATAAATGGTGAACAAGCGCAGGCTTAGGGAGGAGAGGGGGAGTCACGTGTTGAGCGATGGTAATGTACTCCTACTGGAACATGAATTAGTCATGAATCAGTTGATGTTGAAGTGAACACGGGTCACAAATCCCTCTTTCAGATCCTCTCTACTGCTCCGCTGGAAACAAGAGGAAGGCTGTGAGAAATGCCTGCGTCTCTGACATACTTTTGGTGGGAGGGGGACAGACAGGAGGGGGGGGTATATTTGCAAAATGATAAAAACAATAGAATAAGTCTGCAGTGGTAGAAATACATGTTTTGGATGAAATGATTATTGTTCGGGCCCTCTTCATGTTGACACACCTCCCTCTGTCTCTGAGGTTCCTACGTTTCAGTTTACTTTGTTAAGCCCTATGAGGGAAACTGTGATTTGTGAATATGATCAATGCAAATCAAATCTGATTTGATTGACTTTCCTTTTACATTCCACATCTTTATGCTTCTGTGAAAATGCTGGCCAAATACTTTGTGACCTCATCATGTCTTCTCTGGTGGTGACGCAGTAAATTTTCATTGTCTGGATGAAACGATAAGCCAGAGTGAGTGATTATTATTTGGGCCCTCCACACTTTTCTTTTATGCTTGACATCTTTATGCTCCTGTGAGAATGTTGGCCAACTCTGCTGTCACTTTAAACCGTCAGAGATATTTCCATGTGTTGTGTGGTGGTGACAGATGGAGAAACTGTTGGTCAGGAGGGGAGAGGAGCTTCTCATCAGCAGACAAATCCTGATGCAGATGGTCCTGGACGACTAAACCAGGACATAGAATATAATCTGATACAAAAAAGCCTTTATACTGTGATTTTAGCAGAAATATAAAGAAATATGTCAAAAATAAGACCGTGAATATTTACTCTGAGTGTGATTAATGTTCGGTTTACAATCTAAATGCACAGGAGCTCCAGATCTATCATTGATTATTGATCCAGTGGATCCAGTACGAACCTGGCAGTGGGTCCAGCTCTGGTAGTTGGATGTGAAAGGGCTCTTGTCCCATGTGAGCCCGGTTTGAAAAGTTCCAGTCATTGTCATGCAGGGAGCGTCCTGTGCTCTCTGCAGCCAGCTCTGCGGACGCTTTGAATAAAACGAGCGCAGATATGAGACGGATCAACATGGCTGAGCTGCTGCTCACTCCTCACAGGGCTCATCTGCAAACTGACGAGTAACTACAGGAGCAGGACGATGACGGTCAGTCCAGCGCCATCACTCCGACTTCACTCTTCACCGGAGCCGCTGTGTCAACAGAGCGGCAGCAAACTCCTCCCCTTTAATCTGCTGACTGACGGAGGCCCACTGCTCCATCTATCTATCTGTCTATCTATCTATCTGTCTGTCCATCTATCTATCTATCTATCTGTCTGTCCATCTATCTATCTATCTGTCTGTCTGTCTGTCTGTCTGTCCATCTATCTGTTTATCTATCTATCGATCGATCTGTCTATCAGTCTGTTTATCTACGTGTCTCTGTCCATCTGCCAGTCTATCAGTGTATCTATCTATTTATCTTTATATTTATCTATTCGTCTGTCTGTCCATCTATCTATCCGTCTGTATGTCCATCTATCTATCTATCCGTCTGTCTATAACTATCTATTTATATATCTATTTGATGGACAGAAAGACAGACAATCTATTTATATATCTAGTCATGTCTGTCCATCTATCTATTCGTCTGTCTGTCTGTCTATTTATGAGTCTATTTATCTACGTGTATCTGTCCATCTATCAGTCTATCAGTGTATCTATCTATCTATCCATCCATCCATCCATCTATCTATCAAATACATTCATACACAAGTAAGGTAAAAAGTGTAGTGAAATGAAAGTAATGGTGAGGACCAATGAGCCCTTTTCAAAAATTAATAACAAAAGTCAATTATTTGGTAAACTGTCTTTTATTAATTTTTAGTTTTATTCCTTTTCTTTTAAATTTTTGTACAATTTGTATCTGTTTGTTATAGCATTGTCATTGTTTTTATTTTGCAATTACCAACTTTGCAAAATGCTTGTTCTTATCCCTACAAGATAAAAATAAAATATATTTTCTCATATATATATTGTTTGTTATTTTATAATTGAGCTTTAGCTTTTTTTTTTTTAACTTCCACTTTATGCGAAAGAACAACACAAGAGTAATGTGTTTGGAAGATATCAGACATTTATTAAAAACTGAATATATATCATGATCATTTTAATGGATGACCCCCGGCTGAGAACTTCTGCCTTACAGGGCTGAGTGTGCGTACGACTGGTCAGTTATCTCATTTGACCAAGTTCTCATTAGTTGGACAACGAGTTACACTTCATCAGCATCCTCCCAGGATGGATCCATTATTTTGGGCAGCAGGGAAAAAAGATAAAATTGGATGCAGAACCAAACTATTTGTATATGTTTATTTATAATTCATTTCAGTAAGGCTGCCAAATAGTGCACTTTAATTAATATAATTAAGAGTGAATGTCTTTTCCTCAAAATAAAGGAAAAACCTGAAAAAGAAGCAGGACTACAATGACCTCAATCATAGAGCATGACGTGTTTGACCTGAGCCCTCACCAGATCTCCACTGCACCTTATAAGTTATACACTTTCTTTTTCTTCACACTATCATCAAAACAGTGTATGAGTGAAAATATTAAGGTTGATAAAAATAAAAACATTTATATATATACCAGGATACATTCCCTAACTGAACATGTATAAACATCTGCTGCCATTTGAGAACATTACTCTTCAAATGAGTCAAATGTCTTATAACAGAGTTTATACACTTAATTTAACTGAGCAACTGCATCAACTGACTTCTACCACTAGATGGGGGTAATAGAGTATCAACTCACCAACAGAAACATTAAACTTCATATTGGCTGTTATTAATTCCATTGATTCATGCACATATTGATAAGTGATACCAGTAGTAGCAGCAGTGGGTGTATTAGTCAACATTTATGGTATTAATGTTAGTACTTTCAACATTTATGGTATTAATGTTAGTACTATAAGGCTTACATGTGATATTTAGTGGGAGTAAGAGGTGTATTTGTTTTATAGTTGTCTCTACATTTGTGGAACTTTCCAGGTCAAATAAATCCATCCATCCATTAAGCATTAACTCTGCCTCAGGCCTTTAAAATAGTCTCCTCTTATATTTTGTTGCAAAGGCATTTTCTCTGTGATTGCTTTTTTTATTTTTTTAAACTTTCATGTGGTTTGCAGAATCAGTGGAATTGTGAATCCATATTAGTCACAGTGTCATCTCCTCAATTTTCTTCTGAGGTGAACTCTTCTGTCTACATTTGTTTTTCTAGTTCTTTTTTTATTGCATATTTTTAAATTATCTTTTATTGGCAAACCATCAGAACTGCAGTCAACATGATTGTCTACTGTGGTCAGTGATGAATGTAGTTAGTGCCCCCTGCTGACAAAAAGCACACGTGACATGAAAGTTTCACATAAGTCACATAAGTTTAAATTTGTATTCCCAAGTTAAACTTATGTTCATTAATACCTATAACCTCATCTTTGCATTAAACATGTTCATTCATGTCACTTCAATGAGAGTCCCACTCCGCGTTGCTTCTTCATATTTGGGAACCTGCACCTGAAGGTCGTCTCCCTCGCTGACTTCATGTCACTTTACGCACGAGGGAATCCATCCTGGTTGCTCCGCCATCATTGCTCTTCGATGACATGGGCCTCAGAGAGGCAACAAGCTGACACATTTGTCCTCCCAGCTACATCCTCCTCCGACAAAATATAAATCGCAGTCTAAACACACAAGCAGGTGGATTGATGACAGCCCGAGTCTCTGGGATCAATTTGCCACAAATTAGATGCAGTGATGGTTCATTTCTTCACATAAATAGCTGCATCTACTGGTACTATTTTGGAAATCTGCTCGCTTTTTTACTCTGGAAGTGTGCTCTTGCTCTCGGCTCCATCCCTGACTGCTCTCCTCTATTAATCTTACCAGCACAAAGATAGACTTCCTCTTTGTTTTTCTAGCACACAATGCTGCAGGGTTTATTGCATTCTGTTAATAAAGCAAAGAAAAAAATCCTGTTCCGCCATGTGGAAAATGTTTCTCGTAGGTTTCTCATTCCAGTCATCTTTAACTTTGGACATTATTTCCATAGTATAAATGTTGGGTAAATGAAACTGAAATTAGACCAAACTGTTCACAGGTAATGGGCACTGTCTTAAAAGGCCTGGATGCTGATAAATGTTAAATAAATCTCTTTAATGAACAGCAATATTAATATGAAGTTTAATGTTGCCTTCAGGCCTAAATAAAGTAGCTGCTCACAGTAGAGTTAAGTCATAAAGGTCATAAACAGTGCTTAAAGGGATAGTTCACCCAAAATGAAACTTGACTCATTATCTACTCACCACTCTGCAGATGAAGGGCTGGGTGAGGTGTTTGAGTTCACAAAACACTTCTTGTGTCTCAGAAGGGAAACCTTTTAGCAGCCGAATCCGATACAATTGGAGTAACTGGTGGCCGAGAGTTTAGACGTAATAAAACAAGAGAAAAAACATAACATACCTCCATACTCCTGGTGTATGGAGGTATATTTTTAGGGCAGGTCCAATAGTCAACTCACTTTTATTCTGCATTATTATTTGGGGCTTGCGTGACATGTCCTTGTCTACTCTTTTTTGTTGTTGTTTGCCGTTCAATGTACTCTTCTACAGCTGCTGTAGCACTTTAGTCCAAGACAAATTTCCCTATGGGACAATAAAGTTGATTTGATTTGATACTCACCAGTTCACAGTACTGACACTTCTACATTTCCCTACTTTGGTGTACTGGGACTTCATCTTGTGCTCCTCTCCCTGTCTGGTGCTTTGGGCGAGTCATAATAAACTGCATTACCCAGGGGGCATTATGTGATGCTTACTCATTTCAGATCTGGCATGACTGCTTCTTTCTGTATAAGAAATAGACATAAACCATAATGATGCAGAGGTGCATCGTTTGTGTAACACAGTAAAAGTAGAGAGCTGTAGAAAGTGTGTAGGGAACAAAAGGGAATGATGCCCTTTCTTTTTTTTTTTCATCTGATAATTCAAATATTCCTCCCTTTAATTGAATCAATAGAAATATGTTCTGGTAACTTTTGTTCCCTGTTGAGACTCAGTTTAACATTTGAAGTTCTGGCACGTTTTTCCACTTCAAGCACAGGTCACCAAAATCCATATTTTCCTTTCCTTACATAGATGGGAACTCAGTGATTCATGTCAACTGAAACATTAAACTGTCACTTTTCAAATCGATATAAAGGTTCAAGTGCAGGAAATGAAGAGATTTGTTCTTCATAGTGTTATTGATGTTCAGGTATAATTGCTGAAAACACGACAAGACTGTGACAGAACTATGTAGAAGTGAGTTGTGGATTTAGACCATTGAAGTGTTGTCCATCATTTTTGTGTTCAGGATTTTTCAGTCAGGCCAGAGATCATGGCTCAATGAAGAGCTGAAGCCATACTCCCTAATACTGTAACCGAACAGGAACACATTAAGATCAGTTTGTTCGCTTTGCCTTAGCCCAACAAATACACTGAACCTAGAGGCCAGAACAGTTCTCCTTATTTCAATGTGTCAGGGTGATGAGATGAGGAAGAGGAGGATTTGATTTTGTGATTGAGAGTAAGAGCAGAGGGTCACCACCAACACCTCCCTCTGCAGTGAACATTTTGCCAGATATTTTATCACTGGGGCTCACAGATTATCTGCTTTAGTGTCGACGCTGCCAAAGTTTTGGTTTGTAGGTTGTAACATTACGATTCCAAAACTTCAGCCTCACTGTTTGTTGTTAATAAGGTTGGGAGTATTCCCTGTGATATCACGAGAGTTCCTCTGGGCTGCCAGTCGAACCCTTGCCCTAATCAAACATTCACAAAGTGGTTAGCATTGTTTTTGAATATTCAGTACTAGTGGTTAAGAGCAGAGAATACTGCAGATTTTTCCACAATTTTCCAACCTGTTTTTACTTGCAGATTTTTTTAATCATCCAAATTAGTCTTAGCAGTTAATATCATCCAAATTAGTCTGTGCATTTAATAAAATGTTTCTGTGAAGTGACAAGTTCAGAGGCCATGTTTATTACTGCTTCACACAGACTTTAAAGTTTATGCAGTGCTCTAAAGTCCACTATGATAATTCAATACTGTACTGATGCTGTGTCTGGTGAAAACTTCCTACAAGGTCGGCCTCCTTCATGTTTTGAAATAAATACATTTCTGACATTAGTATATATCT